TCTCCGATCAGCACTGGGCGAATGCTAGAGCAGTACCCTAAGAAACGGGCCACGAACCGAGCGCTATGTTTCCTTCCTCTTTCATGTCTTATCCTCACCCATTACACACACTTACACTTACATGTTCCACACACGCCAGGAGACCAGTCGGGAGTTTACAGCTTGTCCGTGCTGGGGTGGTGCCCCGCGAGATACCTTGTAGTGGAAAAACCCGCTAGCCGACGGCAGGTCGGCGCCGGATCTCGCCATTCATTGGGGCAAGATAACCGCTACCTCCAGAGCAAAAACACGCACTACACGTACGGGACTAATGACGATCGTAGTTGATGCGCCCGGAATCACTAACAGTCAATCAAATCAATCGATCAATCAATCAAGGGCCAATATAACTGATTCCGACTACACAACATATTTTCCGGTGCATGTGAGTGGTGCATTGATTTGACTTGAGTACTAGCCCGGATAGCTAGTGGCAGGGCGGCCCCAAACCAAGCATTGAATGGGAAAGTTGCCGTGAAGTGGGATCCGGATTCTAGCTTGTCGAAGTACTTGTGCGCCGGCGAGGGTACGGATGAAAGCGAAAAGCCATAGGTGCCCACCGCGGGAACTGGTGCCTCCTGGTAGAACAAGGTAACTGTGTGAGGTGGTAGCCCATGCAAGGTCAAGACCCGGTTGCGGTCGGATCTGCGTCGACGTGAGCGCAAACTGCGTTCCAGCGGGATACGGATACCAGCCTGTAGGCGTCCTTGTGTGCTGGCGGGGGGTGCGGATAAAGGCGAAAAGTCGTAGGTGCCCACCCCCGGAGCTTGTGCCCCTTGGTAGAACAACATTGATGTGGAGTAGTAGCCCACGCGAGTCTATACTAAGCATATTAGAGGAATTAATTGACTACATCTATTATCAAAAATTATACACTTTTTCGGCATCAGGGTCTCACAACAAGAGTTGATCTGTCGAAAAAATTGCCTTTTTTGTTGCGTCTGACGACGTGACTTAGAGCACGAGAATTCGTGTACAGCACGTATGCCAAAATGATTGCTAACGGCTCTTCAATACTGCGAGATTCACAGCATCGGGCAGTGCCTCGTAGAATGCCATCTCTGGAGCAGATTCATACTATTGGAAAACACGTCAACAGATGGCTCTGGTAGCCACATCCGTGAGATGGCGGCAAAATCCGAATTGCACCAAAGCCATCAAAAGGGATAATATTCTAGTTGGCTTTGCTTGAACGTGTAAAACGTTTATGTTTACATTTGACAAAATAAATTAACAATAATAATAATAATAATAATAATAATAATAATAATAATACTTAATTACCTCATAAAAATAAATTAGTTTAATAAGTAAAATTTTAAATTTTACTAGTTATCAACATGCTGCTGTAAACATTTTTACTGGTGGCACTTAAAATGATGATAGTGATTTTAATTGTTTTATGCCATCTTGCAATGGGTTTTAAAGTAATCCCAAACATGTGAATTTTGTCTAGAGCGATGGCACAACTCATACCTGATGAATATGACATGACATAATCCAGTAAATAAAATTGAGAGTGTCCGGTTGTAATTTCATATGCTTATTTACATAATATAAATAACAATTGTTTTTATGACTTTTGTGTGGCTGTTTGCTTAAAATAATCTCTGGAAAGACTAAATATGATTTGGATTAATTTATAATTAATATTAATTACAGAATTATAAATTAATATTATAATCTCTGGAAAGATTTCAATATATTTTGTAGTGAAAGAAAGTGTGTTTTGCCTGACATAATTGAATTTGTTACTATATTTATGTAATGTCAAAAAAAGTTACAAATTGTGACATACTATGGGGAGAAATGAAGTCAGTGTGTATTTTCTTGAGTTCTGAAATCCTTGCCTTCTTATACTATATTTATTTGGATTATGAATACAGTTAGGAATGTGAGTTTTTGGCAAGAATTGACCAGAAAATATTTGCTCCTTTGTAATAATAACTATTGTACAGGCATTGTGCTGCAGAATTTCCATATTATCCCTTATCATGCTCTATGTGAAAAAATTAACTAACTGAAACCCATTGAGCTCAAGAAAACACAGGCGGAAGTTTCATTTATGGCCGCAGACAAAAATAATCCATCTTGCATTTCCCTCACTGCATCAGGAAAATTGGACGATAAACCTGATCAAGATGGGAGTCACCGACCCAGAATCTGAAATACATCGCTTGTTACAGGCATATTTAATATTTTCAAAATTACACAGTTAAAAGTGAACTAATTCATTAAATATCATTGTCAAAAGAATTATAATTTTTCTTTTTATGGTCACAATTGTATATAGGTGTATAAAAAAGTTAATGCAGCAGAAAAGATTTTACTTAGCACTTTAGTACCAATTTTAATAATTTAATGTCATCTGGCAATGTGGCAATAATGCCTCTATTCTACATGCATGTGAATTTTCTGTAGTAAGCTGTTGATACTGACTCAGGAAGAATATGATTCCTAAGTTGCGTGCTATAAAATATAGACATCTATATTGGATGAAAACATGTTCCCATTGTTCAGCAAGTTGATTTTGACAACACTATTGATTTGTATGTTAGTAGTATAGTCTGTATACTTAAACTTAATAATAAAAACATTCCAAAATCATGTAGGTGGGATAAGCTTATTATTCAAACAATTCTCTTTGGTAACAAACATTTTGTTACCATCACATCAGTCTATTGACCAATGTTCACTCTCAAGGGAGTAGGGAGTATGCAATTGATTATTAGACATAGGCTCCTTTTATTATTTTCTTTCGAATTTTTATAAGGAAGAATTTTTGTGTTTCATGCCAATCTAGATTTATTAAGATCTTGAAGAAATGTTATACATGTGACCTTCAAAACAAAAAAAGAGTAATATTTGCATGAGATTTTGTAAATGTTACCCCTCTCTACCTCTTAGAACACAATTTACATGCACATTATTTCAATTTTTTGAGAATATTTTGAAAAAGGTGAGAAAATTCATAAGAGAACATTGCAAACATGGCATGGCGAGGCAGTCCAAAAGCAGAGGCAGACACGATGAGGACAAACATGGTCGAGGTGGGCAGGCCAGTGAGGAGTGAGATAGAGAATGGGGCAGTCACTAATCCTAGAATTCCTTATCTCAACAAACAGGGAATTGTGATTAATAAATAACCAGCCAACTCAGGATACACCAACTAGTTATAAATATCTTTCTTAAATGAAAATATCTTTCAATACTTAGGTAAGTCAGTTTTGAATAGCGATATGTAAATAAAATGACAGTAATGGTAGATTTCTCCAAGCTCAAAAAAAAAGGCTTGCAGGAATCATATGTATAGCATTTGCATAACATTTGTTCAGTTTTATCTGCGATCTAAGTCTGGGTACTTCTTCTTCGTTTGGCGCTACAACCCGATGTGGGTCTTGCCCCGCTGAAGAATACTCATCCACGCCTTCCTGTCTCTTGCTAAACTATTCCCATTCATATCACCAGTGTTTTTAGATCCTGAAGTACATCGTCTTCTGATCTGATTCATGGTCTTCCTTTATGACAAGTTGTTAGAAGCTTCCATTTTATGATTTGCTTAGAACTTCTATTAGAGTCCATCCTTTCTAGAAGTCCTACCCAGGCTACTCTTTTGGATTTTACATCTCTAAAGATGTTCTTATTTTTTATCAAAACCTCTAATTCTTCATTTGTTTTTCTTCTCCACATTTGTTCATCTATCTTAGTGGGAACATACTGAGGATTTTTCTCACAAATATTGCAATCTTTTGTTCTACTACCTTTTGTAGCATCCATGTTTCTGGTTACAAGTATAGTATATAGTAGCTGCAGTTATGTCTGCAAATTTTATCTCTTACCTTCAGTGGGAATGCATGCAACAAATTGCATGAATGCTAACTGAATTCAAAAGATTTTGAATGTTTAAAGTAATGAACTTAATTTAGAATCCAAGTCGTTAATAGTTTCATAATAAAAATAAATTTGAACTAAAATACAGTTGCTTGACTCGTCCATCTTCAGGCATAAAAGGTTACTTGAATCAATAGAAATTTAACTTAAGAAAAGAAAAAAAAAAAATAAAATAAAATAAATGCTATACACCGTTACAAAATATAACAGGGATAATAATAATTATCTGTCATAATTGGAAGACAATATAATAATTCATAGTGATTCAAGACTATATTAAATATCATGAAATCACCAACATATGATGTTGAAGGAGCACTTCAAAATGGTGCCCATTGATTTGTCTTACTGAAATTGAGCTGTTGGTCACCTCTGAATTGAAGGTGCTTCAAAAACTTAAACATATTTTTAATTGGATTGTTGGTGAAGTAGATACCTCTTTTATTTTGATAAATAAATAGAGATATTGTCAGGTATTAATATTGATACCTGACAATATCTCTATTTATTTAAACATATTTTTTAGAGTATTCTCTTCTAATGTTTGTTCTGGAAGGATGGAAAAAATACTAATACTAAAATGTGTTGAATGACACATAAGTTTGAGTTTCTAGCATTCCTGAGATTGATTGCTATCCTAGTCAATAGATCTACTTTTATTTCTCTCAAACATCACATTTAGTGTACTTTGATGTCATCAACTATTAAGTGTAATTATTACTGTTAAGTAGACTGTGGTGCAAGCTTACTGAATACACTAAAATCTTACCTTGGCACATATGTAGTTCTGGTAACAAGGCAGACCAATGAACATCATCACAGAGAAATTGAATCTCATATTAGCAAATACAAATTTAACAAGCAATTTTGATGTTAGATTTAGAGTACATTCAATTGATAGTATTTCTCTTTAGAAACCATCAGGTCTGCAGGTGGCGGTTTTTAAATAAACAAGAAATTTCATAAAACATTTGTTGAGAATGATGATATTCAAGGGAAAACTCGCATATGACACATAAATTGCACTTTATTGTTGAAGAAAATAAAAGCATGATTCATGCCAATATTTTTACCATATTTACCCGAATATAAGACAACCTCCTAATTTTGAAGAGATTTCCTGAGAATTTCTTATTTTTAACTAATTCTTACTATTTATGGTCAAAATAAAATAGCTAATTGCCTTCATTCAATAAAATTGTTTTGTACATGATAAAGTATTTTTGCCTGTGCCATTTTTGTTTTTCACTTCCAAATAGTCATGAAGATTTTATCAAGAGGAGGAAAGACTGATCCAAAAACGCTGATCCAAAGTGACTAGGCTTAATCTGCTAAAGTAAGATGACCCCCTTTTCCTCAAAGGAGATATTTAGAAAAGACCTTATCTTATATTCGGCAGAATAAATTCTGTATATAGAGCACAGTGTGTAACAATTTTGTTTTTAATTTTTACTCAAGAGACTATATATTATGTGAATAAAAACAGGAAATACATGATATTGAAGAAACTAATGTCAAAAACATATCCTCTTAAGTCTGAATATTGTTCATTTTGTCACCAATTTATTCATTAAACTAAGTATATAACATAACATTTGATACACAATATCACTTGGGACTGAGAGTCATTTTTCGTACTAATGTCCGAAGCAGGTCCCTCTGCTCAGCAGAAAGGAACTTCCACAACTCAGCCTCTAAAGACTGCAACGAGTCAACATCATGGGCCTGGCTTGCCATGACAAGAGACTGCAGCAACAGGAACTCGTCCTCATTCAGATAGCTCACTGAAAAATTAAAAAAAAAATCCATTAACAGAATATAATAATTAACAAAGAAATAAATAAACATTATGGCCGCTATAATTTTAACATTTGGATGGTCCATGTGAATGGGACGGGTTTGCAACTATTAACACTATGAGACCAGAGGTGAGTATTATTATAAAAGGAACAAGCCAATGCATGAGACCATACGGTCTAGTACTGGAAAAAAATTAAATCTCTCTACAAGACCATATGGTCTCGTGCTAAAAACAATATCCCTACGAGACCATATGGTATCGCATGATAGCCAAAATGTTAAACTTTTAACATGACTGACTGCATAGTGGAAGTGGTTGTATGATATAATATAAGTGCTGTATCTGTCATGCAATGTTATTTCTTTTATTTTGATCATAAAACATTTAATTATATACCTGGAATTAATACCAACGAAGAACAGTATCCTGCTCTACAGATAATATGCACATCAGCTCCAATTCTTTGGAGCAGAAATTGATCTCATTACTAAAATTTGAAGATATTCATTTCTGAGTTCATATTTTGGTTAATGTTGATTCAGATTTCTGAGTTATAATATTTGGTGAAATTGTTAGCATTATTTGTCTTAAATTCTCAACAAACCACATGACTTATGAGCAACTCTATTATGAATTTTCTGTCAAACACTTTCTTTTCACTGTCTAATTAAAACAAGTAAGAATGTGATAAACACTTGGGCAAAATAAATTTTGACATACAATAAAAATCACTATAACAGCATTTAAATAGACATGAAACTAAGGGTCTTGCATATTGGTGCTTGTGAACATGGGTGAATCTCATACTACTTATTTTCAACTGGACCACAGTGGTTTTATCATAAAACTGTTTGCAGAGACATGTTATCACTGAACCAAAGTTGTGCGATAAGGAATGAAATGTAATTGTGATTTCATCTACAAAGGGATGACAAATAAACAAGGAACAAAATAAAATTATATAAATTTAGAAATGAAATTATTTCAGTGGCTCTCTGGCTGGCTGGTGGCTCGCTGACTGCAGTGGAGATTGGACAATTTTGGAGACCTCAGAAATGGGCTAAAAGCAAACAAGGAGACACAGATATCCATAACTTTACCTGGAACACTACACTCCTCAGCCCACGCATATTTCTCCAGCACCTGAGCCAAGTCAGGGGGAAGTCTCTGAGCAGAAGGCTGCAGTATGAGAAGCAGTAAAACACGTGTAATCTCACACCTGTAAACACAAGCACATGGTATTATTCCATGGAAACCACACTCTGTGCAACCACTAGGCATTTGGAAATGCGCCCATTACCTAGAGCCGAGAAAGCTTAAATATGTTTGGAAATAAAATCACTACTACAGTTGCAGTGTTTGGAATTAGTGAAGATGAGAATGCTAAAATGAAAGATAAATTTTACCAAGAAATGAACATTATTGTGGGTAATTCAAGAGATTAAAATCTTAAAAGTAATGCTAAGATTCTGGTAACAGGAAAGAAGTGAAATGATTCGGACATTTTAGAGAAGGTATAAATAATAATAAATAATGGTCAAAAATTGATAAAGTTTATGCTTTTGGAAATTTTTAACTGTTCTTACCTACAAGACTTCAATGTACACAGAATATACCAAGAAGTTCATTTCAATTTTGAAAAATGATACAAATGCCTAGAAAATCACCCAAATTACCTAGTATTAAACTAACTAGACAATAGCTTAGAATTAAGAAGATTGTACAGATTTCATCCTCTGGATCTCTTAAATGGGTTCAACCGTTAAATGCAAGATACAGGATTGTACCCAAAAATTATAATATGTATTGAGACATAATATTAATAGAGTATACTATTTATATTTATTACAAAAAAAGTATCATGAAAAATTGTTTATGCCCAGTTCCTTCACATGGCATTGCTTTGCCAATTTGGAGATTACAGATTACAAATAAAAATATATATTAAAAAAACACATGGTGCACATGGCATCAACATTCTTTAACATTGTTATCATCAAAAATTTAATATACTCTCACACAAAGCAATGTGATATTTAAGGTTCAAGATATTTTCAAGAAAATTCAGAGGGGAGGCACTGACCATTATTTTGTTAATTCAAGAACATTGATTGTTTTTCTAACAAAGCAATTATTAAAACAAAAAAACTAAAGCTGTTGAAGATGCAACAAATTATTCTGTAAACATTGCAGAATTATTAAAGGATGAAAGTATCATATTTATCCGAGTACAAGGCCATCCCCCTCATTTTCATGAGGCCTAATTATTTACTAATGCTTAATATTCAGTCAAAATAACATCTTTAATTTCTTTTTCTTTAAAATAATAACCAACACAATCTTCATCATTATTTTTGTCACAACCTTCTACACAATTATGTGTGTCATTGTTTGGGTCTGGCACTCCTCCCACACTACGTAGCCTCGGATTAAATATACAGAAATCTTTCAGATTCAACTTCTATTACAAAAAGCTTACTCAGCTGCAGTCTTCTTCAGCTTTAAAAGGATAATATTAGATAAATAGCCAACTAACTTAAATTTGTTATCAACAAGTTTAGTTAAAAATAATATTATATAAATTTATGAGGAAATGTATGAGAGCTGATAATAATAACTTACAAATATTATTGGCCTATTGAATTTAATAACAAAAAAATTAACATTCTTACTTTAGGCACCATTTTCACTTCTGAAAACAAGGGGAACAAGTGAATTTCAATCTTACCAGCACTCAAAATTACCTAGCTCTGTTACTGACATCATTATAAATCAAGTTTAACCAGTATTAAAATTACAACTTTTTTTTTCTTCAAATATCAGAGGTATTAATACATTAGACCACATATTTACCTATGTAAAATATCACTATAAGTCCCAATGTAAGGTCGACCTCCTAATTCAGCTACAGATACCATTTCATTGAATGTCGTGAGGGCACCATCATAATCTCCTGTGAACATTTCAATTTATTATTTGCTTAGCGCTTAAAAAAAAAGACAATTATTGGGAAAGATCAAATACCTACTTCATCTTCTAATGCTTCACTTCTAACAACCAATGAATAAACCAGTTACGATTTTCTTTTTTTATTGCTCTTAAATAAAGCTGTTTATATTAATTTCCCATTGAAATTTGATTAAAAGAGAAAAACAAACCTTTCATATAATACAATGACTTCATCATTATATTAATGAAAAACATTAATAAAAAATAAGGGCTCCTTACATTTAATAGCCTTATTTAAAGGGATGGGGACTACATAATGAAATGCTAGTTAACATCCAAAATAAATATCTTACAATATTCCCCCACAAAACTCATGACTATACAAATTCTGTATGAAGGGGGGGTTCTGAAAACCTTTGAAAGAGCAGGATAAGTGGGAAAACTACAGAAGTGAAACAAATATTATTATTTATAAATATAAATATAAATAAAATAATAAAGTGAAATAAATGTAATAAAGCTAGTTTTTAACCTTGTATAGAAAAATGAATAACAAAAAAGGAAATGATTACTACTTCAAAGATAACTGCAGCTATACCTTTGATTCAAATATTTGAAACAAAACCTGTTCAAAAAATCAATACAATACCATTATAAAACTATTATTAATATAGTTTTAAAGGCTTTAAAACTATGGAACTATTCTTATTTAAGAATAATGAATGTGATAAAAATTATGTATTAATACATTTGTAACTGACCTAATTCAATCTTACAAGATGCAAGTAATCCTAAACTGTGTAGCTGTTCCAGTGGACTACATCTTTGGAGTTCAACTGCTTTCTGATACTGAGTTGCAGCTTCTGCTACACGATTTAAATCTAATCTCAAAGCATTTCCGAGTTCTAATGCTAAGCCTGCAGAGAGCGGACAAGGACTAGCAGCAGATGGTTGTTCAGTTGTTCGATGCTGTTGCCACTTACTGGATGCATGAGAGAAACAATTGATCGCTGCCTAGAAATATACAAGAAATGACATTACTTATCTGGTAATAAGTTACCTTAAAGTAGGAATATGTGTGTAGCTGATAAAACTAACTTGCAAATGTTCTCCACCAGGACTAGGGCATCCAAGTTTAGCACCTTTTACTTCTGCTTTCATAAATTGGCGACCTGCACGAACAAGGTCCCAAGCTTCTCCTGGAGAATTTCCTAAAGAACCTTCACATCTTGCAGCAGCCATCCAACAAAGGCCGGCATACTGAGGTAACTCATCATTTTCACACCGCACAGCCAATGAACCTAAAGAATTGTTAATCTTAATTATTCTGACAACACTAATACAAGAAAAAAACAATACAATGAATGTTTCTGCTTACCAAATTGATCACTAGCTTCAGTGACATTGGGTTTCCTAAGGAATCTCCTGGAAAATGTGATCATTTGAAGAAAACACATGAAAAGATGTCAAACATAACCTTGCCGTGTAAAAGGTCCCCTTTATTGGAGAAAACGATAACCTCATACAAGTAAAGGTTCTTTATCATTATTAATTAAACATAAATTTAAAAACAAAACTTACTTCTTCAATTTATTCGAGATAGCCCGATATTGCCCCAGGAAATCAACACCGCCTCCATCTCCCATTTTCTCAACTTTTCATAAAAACAGCGTAATTCTTTCAAACACGCGAATGGTAGAAAACGGCTTGTCTACATTCGCCATAGGAATATTATCACGGTACGTGGTGGATCTTAGTATTTAACGTGTCACTTTTTCACATATGGAATGTCCAACAAACTCCATTTTTGACTGTTAGCGCCACTGGTGATTCAATTTGGCACCTGAACAGTCTATATTTTCAACACTAGAGTGCACAAGAACTGCTGTTGTGCTGTAATGTCTTAAGGCGGTAAACATGAATTTCCCATTTATCCACCAACTTGGACTCGATTTATACATCAAACAAGAAGACTATTTTTAGAAGCAGTATTTTAAACATTATAGTGAAACAATTCTTACTGACAGCATCTTTTATATCCACATTATTTGCTTAGATATTCTTCACTAAAATATTTTTTTAATATTAAAATTTTATAAGGAAACACACGATTATAAACTAAACTAATATGCCACAAAAAATAAAATAATATTATTACCACATATTTCCGATTCTTTACCTATTGAACAGGGTTTGATTATAGAGTAATGATGTACGTCCTTAGTTTATGGTTTGATCTTATGCCATGTCTTTTTTTTATATCTAGTAACTGGCGATGCACGTTCTTCCTCGAATCAGTAACGGTTACGCGAAATAAATACGTCAATTTCTATTCACAATAACACAGCTCACAAATAAAACGTGTATAACTCATTACCAGTTGTAGCGCATTAGGCGCGAAAATTTAATTCATTTAAAGGCAGTACATTAACACAAATTCGACAAATAAGTTGACTCAGGTATCATTTTCTCTTTTTCGACTATCATTTTCAAAATAATTTCAAAAGAATTTAATTTTTCATAAAAATGAGACGTTTTACGTTTCTTCAGCCGTAAACAAATATATTTAAATATTTGAGTCTCGAAATTAATTAAGAAATTTGCGAAGATTGTTTAGGATATAAGTAATTAAAAACGGTAGAAATCAGATATGAAGTGTTTAAGACAAAATAAGAAAAAAATAATTTTAAAAAAGTGTTAAAATATAAATACAGTACAGGCCTACAGGAGAGAACTTATCAAAGCATGTTAAGGACAATCAAAAAATTAATATAGGTAAATCGAAATAAAAAAAGAAACTAGTGGCGCTGCAACAGCACACAATTACTCGAATTATTTGTAATGGCTAGGCAATATTATACTACTACATGATCCTGGGGAAGTTTGTCTTATCCAGTATTTTATTTTCTGCTTAGAGACTGGAACTCAACCCCATCGAGTTAACTCGCCGTGAACTGTATATATTTGGCTACACGATGCAATAGCTCTGACGTACACGAAAAAAACGAACAGTTGCATTATACCAGATCCATGATAATGTAACAAGGGAACTTGTTACAATATCATGGATCTGTTATACTGCAACTGTATTTTTTTTTCGTGTACCCACGTGAGTCGACGCTTAAAATATAATTGCCACTTCCATTATTTACAATACGCAATTTTCGAAAATTTAGAGTTCAACAAAAATTTAACGAAAAAATTCGGTTTTTGAGAAAATTGTTATATTTTTATGTAAAAAATTGTGTATGACCTCTTTTAAAAAGCTCATTTTTAAAAGTATCTCCCAAAATCAAAATATCCGTTTCAAACTCGCAAAACTTCAAGGTCGTTCAGATTGATCGGGGAAATGCCAATTTTGGAGAAAATCGCCCGAATGGCTTAGGCGCTACTGTTTGCCACAGAGAGGCGGACAGACGGGCGGATGGACTGACAAGTGGACGGATAGACGGGCGGTTGGTCAGACGGATGGATGGCCAGATGGACGAACAGACGGACGGACAAATGAACAAACGGACGAACAGACAGACGAACGTTTTGTCATGAATACAAATTTTTCGGTTCTAAGGATTCACAAAACATAGATTCTGGTTCCATCACGTGTTACAGGATTTTTCTTTATATATTTAGCAACTTAATTTGTTAACTTTTTCGTTACCAGGGTCTACCAATAAGAATTTTTTTGTTATCGAAAATGCGCTATTTTGCGGGGCTACTATCTCTTCTTGAGAAGAAAGCGTAAGAAAGTAGAAAAATAGACAATTTTTGTTCATTTTTGATTCTTTTAAAGAATATTACTGTAATATAACACTTAACAAATTCGACAACTCAGATCTCCGGTCCATCCACTCGGAAGTAGCGCCCAACAATGAGAAGTTATTCTAAAAAATTCAAACTGCAGTGTTGCGGCGTTTCCATTGATTTATTTCACCGTGACAATCCATAAAAGATTTTAGTTAAAGGAAGGTGGAAAGTTCGGATTTACGAGATCAAAAATTTGCAAATTTTCCGTAAATAACAAATAATTTTAAAGAAAAGTGCATGACCTTTTTTAAAGAAGTGAGTTTGTAGAACAGGTTTTAATTTAAAAAATATCTATCAATAATATTGTACTTCTACAATGTTAATTGTTTGCAATTTTCGAAAATGTAGAGAGTTTGTTGAAACTGGGCCCAAAACCTTTTGCTACATTTCAGGAGAAAAAATGGAATCATTTTTGAGAAATTTATATTATAAACACTTCTTAAAATTGCCTATATAGGACGCAAAATTACTCATACTTTTGAAATAATGTACTAATCTCTTTTTGAAAATCTGTCTAAGAACAACATATTTTATTAAGGGAAAATATTTCTATCTTCTACATTGTCGTTGCAGGAAGACATTTGAAAGTTTCAAAAATTTAGAGATTTCGAGAATGAAACCTACCCCAATTTTAAAGGGTTCTCTACGCGATACAATGGCAAACCTTAATAAAAAAGGCATTTTTGAGAAAATGTTGAAAATGTCCAGGTTTCATGTAAAGTACTTCCGAAAATCAAAATATCCGTATCAAACTCATCAGGTTTCGAGCCCGTTCGATCAGGGAATATCAATTTTGGAGACAATCGTCTGATTACATTGCCACATTGATCCATGAAACGTGGTTTCTGACTATTCAACGTGTTAGAACAAAAATTTACTGCATTAAGGAACAAGATTTATTAACTTTTTCGTTATGAAGGCTCGTCAACAAGAGTTTTTCTGTCGATTTCCCCCCCCCCCCTACACCATTACAATACTTTCTCAGTACTGCGTTAGTGTGTTAGGTTATCACAAGTGAAAATAAATGTGAATCGTATAATTTATAATGAGAGTAAATACGACGATAGTAACAATGGAGGACAGAAAAATAAAAAAAAGTGAAACATGTTAATGAATAATACAAGGGAATGTGGACGCAAACGACAGTGGGAGAAAATATTGTGATAAGTTGAAAAAACGCAAGGACACGTAAACAAATTCCGTGGGGGTGAAAATAAATTCTAGCTGAATTACCTGAACTAGCTGAATTACCTGTGTCGACTGGATATATACTTAGCACTAGCTGAATCCATAACTTCATTTGCGAGGAGACTAGAATCAATTTAGACGGGTTTATTTTTTTTAACCTTCAAGTAAAGTGTAAAATAGCCGGTCTGGATAGCAAAGATCGGTAGGACTTCAGAGCCGTCGTTGCCTCTGCTCGAACGGTCGCGGGTTCGAATCCGGCCTCGGCCGTGGATGTTTGTCCTTACGTGTTCTCCCTACAGTTTAAAAATCACGGTGATTGCTATTTGATTACTATTGTATGATTTTGATTGCTATTGTTGAAAAGCGACATATGCAAAAAAGTATAAAATAATTATTTGACATTGTTTAAAGATTAATATTACAGTGAAATCTACAATACAGCTGCTTTATGTTTGTGATTTTACATCCAGGAGCAAGGACCAATACTTTTGGAAATCACTCATTCCGAAGCATGCTACAGTACATATACCTATTACTAAAATCACTTTTACACAACTATGAGCCTACTTGAAAAAAGTCTGGCCTTGTGCTTTAGTGATTTTCATTAAAAAAAATTGTCGAGAAATTGAAGTTTTTTGAACTGAAACGGGTAGATTAGGGGTATTATTGGAAGTCTTCATGTGTTTTCTCCTTTTGCGTAATCCTGCGATCTACCTGCTTCTACTTCGCTCGGCACTGCCCCCGCCCATTCTGCTCTGTCGTGATTGCTAAGATCACCGTAGCCAGTGGCGTAGTGTGGGTGACAGACGTCCAAGGCGGAGGAAAATTTCGCCGCACCGTTATTTAGGTGCTTCGATTTAAAATATACAGTAATTCTAAAGAAATTTGCGGCAAGAATAATCATCATTAATATGTACTGTAGAGGTTACAAATAAACATATAGGTTGGAGTAAACGTCCTGCAACAGTCAAATATCTTAGGAACAACATTTGCGAGCAACATTTGAGAGTTTTACATTATAATAATCACATTTAGTACAAACGTTTATACACATATGACACTTGCATTGATATAACAGGTATAAAACAGTTATGATTATATCTTGATGATCGACAAGATTAAGGTATTAGCGAATTGAATATAAAAAAAATCGACTTCCAATGAGAACTAGAGCGGAACTGCTACTATTTATATTTTTATTAAAAAAATATATAATTATTAGAGTTCTTCTTTCTTCTTCTTTCTTCTTCTTTCTTCTTCTTTCTTCTTCTTTCTTCTTCTTTCTTCTTCTTCTTCCTTCTTCTTCTTTCTTCTTCTTCTTCTTCTTCTTCTTCTTCTTCTTCTTCTTCTTCTTCTTCCTCCTCCTTTTCTCCTCTAATACCCTTCCCTGACCATTCCATGTTGCGCAGGCATTGGATCGTTCGTCCAGTCACGGAATCTTGCGAGCAATTGGGCTTCTTGATAAGTTTGATCGCTCCGTCGCCAGGCGGCGTTGGCGTCAGCGCTGCGTGACACAGCAATTAGCGCTCTGCGAGTGACTGTCGCCGGCGATATCACTTGCTCTATCGCCCGCCCGCCCGTGCGTGCTGCCGCCGCCGCGCCGCCAGCGATAAGCACCGCCCGCCCAGACGAGAGCCGCCATGTCGCTGCTGCAGCTGCTGAGATTCGCGGTCCCGTCGCGCGCGGCGCGGCTCCTGGGTTCGAGCCCCGCGTGTGCCGGGCGCCCCGCCAGCACACCGGTGGACTCAGCGGATCCTGCCGCCATCCCACGCCCTTCCACGCAGGACCGAGAGCTGGCCCTGGACCAGCTGAGAAGAACTTCCAGCGTGCGGAGAAGATCCCGTTCAGAGGTGCGCAGCGCGACCCCGCGCAGGTCCGGGGCAGGTGGGGGTGAAGCGCGGGCTTGCGGTTGGGGTGGGCCGCGGCGGGGAGGGGGAAGGGGGAGGGCTTCGGAAGCGCGGGAAGTGGGGATGGACACGGCGACGAGGACGGAGCGGAGCGGGGTCGGGGCGACTGCTAGCACACGTCATGGCTGGCGCTCAGCCAACTGCACATGTGCTCGGAAAACAGGCTGGAGCGCTACAAGGCCCCACTGCCTTCGATGACACGGAGCGCGACAAACCTCTTGTGGCAATGCATGTCGTGTCGGTAACTGTCATTACAAATTATCGTGACAGATTGTCGTATGAGTGAGTGAATGAGTGAGTGGATGGATGAGTCAGTCAGTCAGTCAGTCAGTCAGTCAGTCAGTCAGTCAGTCAGTCAGTCAGTCAGTCAGTCAGTCACATACTGCCGTTCAGAAATTGTCATGACATACTCGTCAGGGAGATTGTTCTTACAGACTGACGTGCAGTTGTTTAGACTCGACATTGACTTACATTATTAGGATATTCGTGACTGTTGTCACAATGTTGTGAGAATGACCAATGCGGTACTGCTGATACGCATCAATATTCAGAAAAGTAATCAACTCCAAGACCCGATTCAGTTCGTGGCCATCGAAACATTTTGTGCGGATCTTTAGAACTCACAATTTCGTACGTGCAGAAATTTAACAAGGTTAAATATTGACAAAATACAATTGCAGTGAAACACAGTTAATCGAATTATTGGCCCTTATCCCTTATCACGCCCCACATGATTGAATCAACTCATTACTGTGTGAAGATGGAGAACGACTATGCGGAACCACTATTGAAATGGTTTTTAGTTTATAAACTTCTATACTTTAAGGGTTGCCGCTTCGCTATGCACGTCCCAATTCGTAACGAAGATCTGACCTTCGGCCTCTGCGATAAAAATAAAACAATCCCAAGTCTGAATTTTACGAATGAATAGTTTGTTGTCAAACAGTTTGTGAGTGAAAGAATTTATACGATGTTACATGAATTTAAGGCAGAAACTGACTTATGACTTTGTTCACTGGAGTTGTCGAGAAAGCATATATTGTGCAAATGCTGATAAAATTCCTTAAAAATAATCCTTTATATCCAGCAATTTGAACATCCCCTCAAATACTTCATACTACAACTAATATGCATTTCAGGGTTATTCTCACACTTTGTCTTTTGTGCACACTATTGCGTTTGGATATTGGAATCATTATATAATTCATGAACTTTGTATGGGTTCATATGGAATGTGATTTGAATTTATTGTATCCCTGGCAAGGATACGTCAGTACTTTTACAGCAAGGACATTAAACCTTGTCATCACCCTCCTGATCGTGTCAATTCGCATCTGCACTTCACTTTTGTTCTTCGATCCTGCGACGTTCGGTGTTGATTCCCGAACAATTAAAGAATAAGGCCCTAAATGTAATTCAATCCCTTTGACCTTGAAATCCGCAATACCTTTCCGCGATGATATCGATATCATTAAAACAGGAAACCCAACACGCAGTTTTGATTTCTCTGCGCGTGCCTTTTGGCTTTCATGGAATTATTTTCTTTACTGTTGAATATTGAAATTAAAGCTAGCCGGCGAGTGTTGATTGCTAGCAGCCTTTTTTTCTCGCCGGTGCAAGGCCTCAGCTCACTGCAGGAAAAGTGTCGAATTACTTCATTTTGTGCCCAAACAGATGTAATTTTTTTGCCACGTTGTGCACAGGGGTATTAAGTTCCCATCAATGCGGCACTCAGAGCTGTGCTTCAGATGGTCACGTTACAAAGATCTGGCGGAAAAACAACTAAATTCAGAGAGAGCTGTCACTATTTTCGTGAATGAAAGTTCCCTTGTAATTAAAATTATTATTTACTTTTCTGTTTATAGGTGTTTCAACTTTGTCAAACTGTACTTGATCTTTCATTTAAATATAAATAATTGTTTTAGTAAAACTTTTAAATCAGTATATTGTATTTGATACATAACTACATCAGCAACGTTTCGTAAAATCATTATTTTATAAAACTTTTCTAATTTAATTTCGCATCAAATAATATATTCGCTTGTAATTGTTATAGGTAGTTGTCCAATACCAAGTGACTCGGAATTTGTCACTTCCTACATAAGCTATATTGCGAAATTTTGAACTTAGCACACGGGCTACTGAACGTAATCACCTTTTTTTGACTTCCATATTTACTGTCCAACGAAACCAACTATTTTGTGGACTCGTATTCGCCGACCAGCGCTTTAAACTGTTTTTTCACCTCTCATATTTGCCGCCAGAGGGCGACACAAGTGCTGTCTTAATCATTATTATCTACTACTCTAATCTTACTTTCGTTTAATGAGAGTTTGACAGAGTAACTGAAATATTACGGTTACAAAACAGGAAATTGTAGTATTTCAGTTGCCCTGTGAAACTCACCAAATAAAATCATTGTAATTTAATTTTTATCATTGTTCATAACCGTTGTAAAGTTTCCACTTTCAGATATTGTAATCCGATTCTTCAAGCTTTGAGTGCAATATCCGTCGTGCCTAAAGGAGACTGAATTCCATCCTTATTTTCTTATCCTACGAAAGCATTGGCAAGATTTATTTCTTTATGTGCTGTATGGATTTCACTCTAACTAAATTATTGCTTGCTATGATTTGCCCACCTCTCACTTACTAGAGTGTTTCTTAGAGAACGTATTAGAGTTCACACTGTTTCTAAACATTGCGGTATCAGGTTGGTATATAAGTTTTATATTATTCCACTTATCAAAGTAAGCTCAGTGATAGTCGTACCTCAGTTTGAAATTCACCGGACTTTAAGGTAATTACACTACATCATGAAACGCTGGCACGCCTGCAAAGACTTTCCATCGAATATTCCATATGGTATGGCGTAAAGATATATCAGCACTTGCGAACGACCCACTCAGAACCTAAGAGCGCGGCTGACGTATCGAGATTTGCCCTCTGAGACTTTCCGTTCTCACGCGAGATTAGGGCGTTTTTGCACAGCGTGAAGTACCTTGGCGTATACCACTTTCCAGCAGATTGAGCGGGTACATTTTATCGAAGCTAATTGATTACTCAGTCATGCTATGTGGAGTTTTTTTCCTACTGTAGCAGCAGAGTGCACTGATTACTACGTTCCCATGATGCAATATCCACGTGACTTTTTTACAATACGCTATGCAAACAATTTCTAATGATCTTTAGAGACAGTGCCCTCTCTTGCGTGGGTCACTACCTCGAAGCATTATTTGCTTCTGGAGATTGCGAAATTATGGAACCTGGTTGTCAAAAAGTCGTGAAGAAACAGTGGAATCCCTATTATCCGAAACGGACGGGAATAACCACCCACAGAAAAGTTGTCAGTGCTCGGGTTAATACCAATAATATATGAAAACTACTTTAGTAATTGCAATTGTACATATTTGAATCTATGATTAAGACACGAGAAACTCCATTAAACTGTATTTACCGAGAAACTAAATACATGGAGTGATATTTCATTTTTTTGATGTACTCTGTTTCTCTAGTCATAGATCAAAGTATGTAAATTAACAATTGAGATTGTATCTAGAAGAAGGACCTGTACTCTAAAACTGCGTTTTGAGAAAAACGCATTGCAAGTGTTCAATCATAGCATTCTACATACTGGTCTATTTAATTGCAAATTACATATTACTTTAATATATTATAATTATTTTTAAACTTAATTTCACTTAGAACGCAGCTAAATTCTCCTTAATTTCAAACATGTGGAATTCAACAAAAATATGCGTTATAGGCCCTTCAAGTGAAGAACACTTTGTATTTATTATGAAAGTTGTGTAAATTATAAATATTATTAATTTTTAATTTGCGCGTATTTATAGCTACTGCAAATCATACTGTGGTGTGTCACCTATTTTTTATCTCACAGTTCATCTTGTGAGCTATCAGATTCGGACTCACTTTTGTCGATATTTCCTGTGGATACTTCTTGAGGAATTCACTCTTCAAAAAAGTTTTCTTAAACTTTTTTGCTCTTTTCTTTCAAGTACCCATGTAAGTCCCGAATATCAGTAACATTGCCGGATTAAGTGGAATTCGAATGGCATATTAAAGTGCAATATTATGGGTAACTCTCTTCATGAAACGCAATATTGCTTTACCAACCTATCGAATATACATAAAAAAATATGCAAATTTCCTTGAATATTGGTCAATGTGCGCAAAATTCATTTTTACAGTCTCCGGAAAATGGGAATCATAGTCTTACGGGCACCTCTTCTTGCAACCGCCTCAGTTAATAAACTAGTTTTCGTAAATTATTAGCATTTATCCTAAACATTGTCAACGTTTCTGTGGGTGCTCATCATTTTCTGTGAATGCTCATGGTATGAGCTCTTGTATTTCTTTTAATTAATTCCCCAGTTCGTTATTCAGGAAAAAGCTAGTATTTAAGGATTCTCGGCGCATCAGTTGCCGAAGTCGTTAGTACCTGCATGCGGGAGGGGGGTTGTATCTAGGAAGGTGGGGAGTGGGTTTTTTCCTTCTAAGCCTGATCATGAGATTCGGTGCTGACCTATAGATCGATTTGACGGTTGTTTACACTCTATTTATGAGATTATGGATAAATTAGCGTCGATAAGCGATTGAGCAGGGCATGGGTATGCCTCCCATACTAAAAACTCAACTGAAAACATGTTTGCCTCCTTGGAGATTCGAACTCATCGAATCGTTTAAAATCGAAAATCATCAGAAGTAATTTGAAGCATTTGTGTTATCAGTTAAGTTATTAAAAACACCTGTAATGCACATGTCTTGTGATAAACATTAAAAATTACGTGTGTTATTATTATTATTATTATTATTTTTATTATTATTATTACTATTATTATTATTATTATTATTATTATTATTATTATTATTATTATTAATTTTAGCCTGTACGATACCATGAAGGGCAAAGGCCTCCTGATTTCTCCGTGATTCTTCTGATGATTTGTGCCGTGTGGACTTGCAACTTAGCTAATTCGCCGTCTGGTAATAAACTTGTGATTATGTTCAACTTCACTAGTTCACTATTCTTACTACGCTTGTTTATGACATTTACATGGGTAATAACTATTTTAAAAGTGGTCGTACATTGATACCTACAGTTATTCGTTTTGTTTGATGTTAATCACTTATTGTGTTTCACAGCTTCTGACACATTTTTCACCTGTTTAGTTTTACACTTTCCAGTTTGTTGCTATTCTTTGTCCATTTTCTGTTTTTCTGGAACAGGAAGACGATCATATTAGGTATGACCTCCACGTCGACCTGTTCTGAGCCAGCCGCGATTGCCTCTCTGAGGCTGTCCGACAATCGTTTGTGTTGCCTTCCAGGATGTCGCCAACCAATTCTTGATTCGCATATCGTTGTTATGTGTGACCATCATTGGTCGTTATATCGTACAGTATGTCCGCCGCATTTCCACTTTAGTTTTTCAGCTTCTTCCGATGCATCTTTTATTTTGGTTTTCCGGTGGGTGCTATTAATTGGTGATTGTTTGGTGGGTGTTATTAATTAAGACCATATATTTTAATTAAAACGCCACGAGATTTAGAGAGATGCAATGTGCCTAAAGGAAGATGTTTGTGTGTGTTTGGCGCAGGGTACGTGGTGATGGGGTCGAACGGCGAGTTCCCGCTGATGACGGCCGAGGAGCGCGTGGGGCTGGTGCGCCGCGTGCGGCAGTTGGCGGCGCCCGACCGCCTCGTCCTCGCCGGCCCCGCCTGCGAAGGTGAGGCCCCCTCCCCCCTCCCCACTACTCATGCACACACACAGCCCCTCTCATGAACAGTCTATGGACACATTCCGTGGTTTCTCCAATCAACTCCAGGCGAGTGCCGGAGCTGTACCCTAACAAACGGGCCACGGACTGCGAGCAAGTCTTTCATTTTCCTCTCCCTCTCCCTCTTCCTCTTCCTCTTCCTCTTCCTCTTCCTCTTCCTCTTCCTCTTCCTCTTCCTCTTCCTCTTCCTTGTTCCATTCTCACCCCCTTGCACACACTTACACTTACGTACACTACACTATCACACATGCCAGGAGTCCCATCGAGAGCTTATAGCTTACCCCGGCTGGGGCGGTGCCCCGCTGGTGGGAGATACCTGGTTGGAAAAACTCCGCTAGCTGATGGGAAGGATTGCGCCGGATCTCGCCATCCAGCGGGGGAAGATCACCGCCACCTCCCGAAAAAACAACACATTACATTTATGAGACTAATGACCTCCGTAGTTTACGCGGCCGGAGGCACTAACAACAAACCAGCAATCGATTGATTGATAGTCTGATGATTTAAGGCGCGTCCGTGGATAAGGTAATTAGTCCCGTAAGTGTAGTGCATGTTTACGTCGTGAAGTGGCGGAGATCTTCCCCTACTGGATGTGACATGCAGCGCCGATTTAGTGTCGAAAATCTGCCAATGATGGAACTCGAATCTAGGACCTGTTGAGAGGTACTGCCGTGACATCAGTTCTTGCTCTGAGCCACTTTTCCAGATGACACATCGATAAGGCGACCCTCTATTTTCTGCCATCCTCAGTTATCGCCCATTGCAAAGCAATGAATCATTTTTCTGTTACTAATACTTGGAAGTTACTTCGATAAAATGCAATCCTCGCCTACCACCATTGGCCATGGAATGCAGAAGTTCTCAATGTTCTGCCAAAGTGAGAAGGGTTTTCTTCTCGGATTATTTGGACAGGTGAAGAATTACTAGTAGAATCACCGGAGAAATCTGCACGTAAAGGGAAATCTGCAAGTAGAGGGAAATCTGCAGGTAGAGGGAAATGCAGAGATTGAGTCGGAGGGAAATATAGAAATAGTGAAAGAGGGGGAAACAGTCATTTACCGCTTTTTCAGTTTATTTGTTTTATTGAGCTCGTTAAATATTTGTATTTTGTATTTTACGGTATGTTGTTCCTTACAAATTTCATTCATTCATTACAAATTTCTCGTTAATTTTTTTGCTCATGATATTTTCATAAAAAGTTAATACAATTTTGTATATTTAAGTACTAAGTAGGTGTATAACTCTATTTCATTGTCTAACAACACATTCTTTTTTATTTTCACTGCGATGAGTCAAGATTTGAGAGTAGATCTCGAATTTCCTCTAAGCAGAAATACTAAAAAATCGTAGATTTTCCTAGCGTCTTATATCGTATCTATAATCGTAGCGTTTTACACGCTTGACTACTGTTGTTCACCCTGTCCTCTGAAATTTATTACTGCCACCGGCCGAATTATACTTTGGAGTGGCGGCGCCACAAAAATTTATGATTTCCTCTTTAACTTCTTTTCGTAGAAGGAAGACGTTGAAATCGTAAAGTGTGAAGCACATGGTAAACTACATCTTTCCTGAAGGTTTACGAAGTTATTTTTGAATTGCAAATGTGGGAGTTGCGTTTAAAGTTTAAGAGGAGGTGTGCTACTTTCTTTACTTCGTCGACGCTTCAGGTAAATTTTGGCATCATTCAGTAGCTTTTTTCCATTTTGGCCAGTCTCGTGTTTTATTCTTTTATTTTCCAAGGAGATCAGCTCGCTCCCCCCCACCCCAAATTGGTAGAATACGTCAAAACTCCACGCACGTTTTAGCTTTTCAGAAGTATGTAAATGTTGGTGGTTTGATTTGATTGGTTCTGATAATACCGTTAAAATGTAAATGACGGTATGACAAAGAAGTATCATAAAAATAAAGTTGCAATACCTCGTTTTATTACAATCGGTAAAATGATCATTGATGTTCCTCATTTGAACTCTGTTTTACAAATCAACAACGTATTAAAAAAATTAGCACTCATAACCTTCAAAATTAGTTTTGAGATAATTTTCATGATACCATTATCGATGCAATTGGTGATGTAATATCGAACAAATCACTTGAATGTCATCGATTACGCATGACATTGAAAACATCAAAAAGAAATCGTCAAAGAAAATAAATACACCGTTTTATTTCACTGGTTTGTTAAAAAACTGACTGAAAGATAAGAATAACTCTTTGATACCCTCCAAAGTACGAAATATAGAGATTTGCAGAGGCACGTATACGCGACATAATACTTCAAACAGCAAAATTGTAAATTCTTGCAGAATTACACATTATGTGTTCATGCTTATTAATAGACGAATTCCCTGTCAATGCACTACAATGGGATGGCGTGAATGATAAATTTGAAGAAAAAAAATTTCGCGTACAGGTCAACTCGGACCACGCGTGACTACTGCTTGAGCAGGTGCAAGTAGCTTTATCTGGGGAGGGGGCAGCATTTTAGCTGAAACACGACTTTTATCCTCCAAAGTTGTTAGCCCTGTACGTTTGTTTATCTGTAGATATCCTCTTTTTAACATGCGATTCCACCAAGTTAGAAAACGGCGGTTTTTTGATACGTTTCTTTTCCCAGCGATAGTTCCTCTGAGACCTTCGTGGCTTGCCACGGTGCTACAGATCCCCCACTTGCACCAGTAGACCTTGACATCACTGCTTTGAACGTTGGCCCATGCTGTGGCGACCGTAGGGCCAGGCTTCCGCCAGAGCCCCCACTTGCACCAGTAGATCTTGACATCACTGCTTTAAACTTTAGCCCATGCTGTGGCGACCGCAGGGCCAGGCAGCCGCCAGAGCCCCCACTTGCACCAGTAGATCTTGACAACACTGCTTTAAACCTTAGCCCATACTGTGGCGGCCGTAGGGCCGTGCGGCCGGCCCCGGCGCGGTGCTGTAGCGCTGTGTTGCAGGGACGGCGGCAACGTTGGAGCTGTGCCACGCGATGGCGGAGGCGGGCGCCGACGCCGTGATGGTGATCAACCCCAGCTACTACAAGGCCAGCATGACGGTATATCTCTCACATTACCTTATTTTACAATTTTATTTTTATTTAGTCTGCTAATAACTTTTTCAAAAGATTTCTCTTTACTTCATTTTCATATTTCTTTATTGATTTCTTCTTTCTGTATTTTCGATTTTTCCTTCTTTCCTTCTTCTTTTGTTTCACTCCTCCTTTATTTATTTATTCGTCTATTTCCGTGTTAAATCCTTCTTGAGCTCATTATAATTGATTTTTGTAAATTTTCGTGAGTTCGGGTCAAAATATTCCAGTTGTTTACACTATTTAAGTAGAAATACAAATACGACGTTTATTGTATGTAGTGATGTCGGTGGTGCATGAACCGTGTTATAAGGCTCACTAAAATATTATAGCCAAGTATGTCGAAATAATTTAGCCAAATCCCGGAGAGCCAAGTAGCGATTAAAGTATTTTAGTTTCTCCGAATGAGAAGGAAGATGGTGATTGATAGGCATAAAATAACAATAAAAATTGCTGTCATGAAGATTGAATCAAAGTCAAAACTTTGGTAGCATAAAGAATTGTTATCGAATTTTTATAGAAAATCAAGAAAATTCCCCCAAATAATTGTCTTCTTTGTTTCCTCTCTTCCCCTTTCCTTTCTGTCTTTTTCTTTTCTTTCTTTTCCTTTCGAAAAGTATAGATAACCTCATAAATATTCCTCGAAGCTCTCTTACCACCCGTTCGTATTAAACGTTGTCTATGAATTCCCTTAAAATTTTAACTTTCGATCAGAAACCTTTACTTTCTTCTTCTTCTTCTTCTTCTTCTTCTTCTTCTTCTTCTTATTATTATTATTATTATTATTATTATTATTATTATTATTTCTTCTACATTCACGTCCAAAGACGTTAGCTGTCGGTTACATATGAAATCTACTCCATTGTACTACAAGCTTTCTAAGAAGCAGATCAAGTGGCTATGGGTGCCTTTACAATATTTTGAGCAATATATGAGCCGTTTCCAATTACGAGTTAACTTAAGTCTTGATTTACATGGGGGTTTCGACACTTTCTTGAAAATAAGTGTTGAAAATAAATCACTATTTTGCCACTCTGTAGCCCTTTCCCCAAAGTTGAATTCACACCATCCTATTGTAATGGAAATGAAATTAGACTTCAATCGGTCCAAATATGTCCATGAGTTTGTGCAGATTTAAACAGAGACCATCACAGACAATTAAAGTCAGGAAGGACGATATGACAATAGGAAGGATTACACAACAGTGATTTATAATTGGAAACGGTGATAATTAGCATGTACTTTGAGTTCTAATTTAGCACATATGACTTTGATAAGCTGGATGTGATTAATTCTGTGGCTCGGGTGGTCATTAATTGGCTCAAATTAGTTTGATCAATTGCTTAATCGTTCGCACGAGAGGTTTCAAATGAATAATTGTTAGTTTCTGTATCGGTGTAAGTATATCATGGAAAGCCATTTATATAAAGTGCGACATAGTATAATCAGACGCATAATTGATGAGATATTAGGAAACGCTAGAAGATGCATAAGTAAGTTCATTTATAAATAAAATCATATCTTTGGGGCATATTTTGAAATGTGTATGATATAATTAGAAAAACGAGACAGACAACACAATTATAGCTTGATTGTAACATGTACCAACTTAAATTAACAGAAAGCGTTTACAGTCATAAATCGACAAACACCAGTAAAATACGGGGGAGTCCATTTTAATTGTGATATCGAAATTATTCGAGAACAAATCCACGGAAACAATCTGAAACTGTCTGAAATAAAAGATAACTTTGAAGGAGTTAATTGAGAGACGAATAAGCTTGGGGAGAAACGTGACTCGAAGTATAAACTCTGTCTTATGGAACAAAACCATCACTAACACTACTAAAAGACGTCTTTACTCCTCGCTAGTTAAGAGTGTTACAACAGACGGTTCAGAAGTTTGGGAGATTGATAAAAGAACAAAAGGGAAGCTGCTGGCCCTTGAAATGGACTACTGGCATAGAAGTTGCTGTTATAGCAGACGTGACAGAATCAGGAACGACGACATAAGAAAGAAATGGATGTAAAGAAAAATATCCTTGACGAAATAGAGAAAAAAACAAATCGTCTAGTACGGTCATGTTATGCGAATGACAGACGAAAGATGGCCAAACCGAGTCTTGAAATGGGTGCCGAAAGGCAGAAGAGAGGAAGACCCAGACTTGCATGGCAGCAGAGAGTGCAAGAGGCTATGACGACATGAGAAATGCCAGATGATCTATGGTCCAATAGAGAGGCATGGATACTGAGAGCGGAGAAACGGCGACAACTGTAAACCAACTCCGTACTATATATATCGGAGTTAAGCAACCTATATTATTTATTTCCAATGCACACAGAGATAGAAAGAAAATTATGCAGCTTCTGGCCATGTGAGTAGTGTATATACATGTTAAATGCTCTGAAACTCGGAACAAATCCAAACACAGTAAAACCGATTTGATGCTAACTGATTGTTGATTGACTGATTAGTGATTCAACTGCGTCAACTGCTAAGGTCTTTAATTCGTAAGTGTAGTCAAGTGTTTTTTTCTCAAGAGGTGGCGGTAATATCCCCACGCTGAATTTCGGCGTCGGCCTACCGTCTGTAAACGGGTTTTTCCCAATCAGGTATCTCCGACCAGCGAGGCACCACTTCAGCCGGGAGAACCTCTAAGCTCCCGGTATTTATGCTAATGTAGTGCGAGGAACTGGTGAGTAGAACAAGGAACAAGAAGGAAAGTCAGTGCGCCGACCGTGACCTGTTTGTTAGTGCACTTCTCCGGCATTTACCCGGTATTGATCGAAGAAACCACGGAAAACTACAATGCTGCCGGCTGCTAGAATTATCCTCCAGACAGCGTCTGAATTCGACCTAGCTCGAACCGAAAATTCTACCACCGTCGGAACCTAAGACCTCCGGGTCAACGCTGCAGTGACAACGCTGTAGTTGAGCCACCTCTCCCGGTGAGGTTGACTGAGAAGTGCAAATGTTTCATTGTGTTTTTCTACATATTCTCGTGCTGCCGTTATGAAAGAGCACTTTTTATATTACAGGTTGGTAAAGAACTGCACAATATATATATATGTATATATATATATATATATATATATATATATATATATATATATATATATTGATTTTAATTTTTGAGTTTAATGATTGATTTAAATTAAAGAGTAAATTGTGCGTTCATAACGCACAAATGCATTTTAGAAGCAAGGTGTTATCAAAGCAACATACGCTTCAAAATACCTAGCGTGCAAGCAGAAAAATTAGAAATCTCTCTCTCTCTCTCTCTCTCTCTCTCTTTCTTTCTTTCTGCCTCGCTCTCTCTCTCTCACACACACACACTCTATTTCTCACACTCTCTCTGATTGATTTCTATCTCTCTGATTTCTCTCATTTGTTCTCTCTCTTTCCATCTATCTCCATTTCTTAGCAGTGTTCTTTAATTTATAATTCCTGCCCTGAATCTACCCACAACTTTTGATCGTTTCATCTTTAATGAAATTACCTTCTATTTATAAACGGTTTCTCTACTGTTAGAACTGCTTTCAAACAATAATATCGTTTGAATGTTCGATGATTTGGGAATGAAAATATGAGAAAAGGCTTTAAATAGACTCGTATCTGCAATTGTGTGAGCGTTAGCCCCCTCTCATTTTGCTGAATATTGGAAGATCGAGCTGCTAGAATGTTTTTCTTCTTTCACTCTCTATCATTCTGTTCCCCCCTCTCCCTCTTGTCTCGCCAGTAATCTTCTTAGTAACATTCGTTAATTTATCTTTATCTCACGTATTTATTCTCTCACTTTCTTGTCAATTCTTTTTCTCGTATTCCTATCTCTGTATTTGTTTGAAAAAAAATCTGTAAATATTCTTTGAATGATAAACTCAATCATTCGAAATATTTTCCAGCGATGATAAATATCCTACCAAGGGCTAAGATTAGATAACGAAGATAACCTTTAGAGAACCTTTCTAGCTCTTCAAGCGTGTGCAACGACATATGTCGTCCTGAGAAAGGGCCCCTTTTTCAACGTGTGCGACGACATATGTCGTCGACGGTTTTCTAATGCAATTTCCGAAGAAATGGACAAAGTTCGGGCTTGCATCGCTACATAGGGCGATAACACACTTCTTTAGCTCTATGCTTGTGTATTGGCAACGTGGTACGCTCATTCTATTGCTCTTCATGTATTTATGTTTGACGAGGTGCACGATTGATTTTGAGCTTAAAGTTGTGTTCTGCGTTCTGTAGCGATGTGTTTCCTAGAAGAGCTATTGTTAGAGAGTGATAGTTATGAAAGGGAAGTAGATGATTTTATTGTTTTTTCTTATGAGCCAGAAAATTAAAGTGATTCTGAGTGCAGGGAAATATATGACGCTTCCAAACTGCAGGCATTTTTGTCTAATATTTGTGAAGGTCAAATGATGCTTATTCCTTTCAACGCTACGTTTGTAGATTATTTTGAGTTATTTTTTAACAATAAAATTGTTATTTGATTGTTGAGCAAACTAACATTTATTGGTAAGGTAGCTATAAATTTGTTTGCGAACTTCAGCAAGAAAATATTACGCGCGCCACAGAAAAGCCACGCCGAGAGGGGTGACCGACTAGAAAGGCAAGTCTCGCCTGAAGGGCTAGAGCTCTTACCTACGATAGGGCCAGCTTTGGTACCCGTTCATTTGGTGGAATATTGTTCAGTGAAGTACAGACTAGGATAGTTAAAACGTTTTTCACCATCTTATCGTTTTTTTCTTCTCGCTCTTCTATCTTTCCTGCAATTTTCTTAAGTGTCCTTCGATTTATTTTGCTCTCAACTCTTTTTTTTTCGCATCGTCCCATTTCTTCAGTTTCTCTCATCTTTTCTTTCAGTTTTCCCGCAAATGCCCTTCGATTAATAAACCCAATCGTTGGAATTATTTTCCCGCGATGGAAAATACCCTATAAAAGCGCTCCGATTAGTGAATGAAACGAAGAGAAAAGCCTTTGTGAAGCTCCTGTCTGCGCCGGAGCAGGCGCCAACTCCCTTTCGCTGCCCGCCGCCGCGCCGTCGCTGCACTTGTAACGACTCTCCGCGCCACAATGGCCAGAAGAGCAGCCGCCGGTCGGGGCGGGGGCGGAACGCAGCGCGGCGGAGTGCGACAGTCCGCTGGCAAACGAGGTGTTTTCGCAAAGTTGCGGGGAAATTAATGTTATAATTTCGAAAGTTTGGAAAGCACGCTTCGCCGAGCTTCAACGAACTCCGTCTCTGCCGGCATTTTAAATTACGTTCGCTCGCCGGGATTATGTATATATACGTTCGCCGAATTTCCTGCTGTGATACGTGCGCGAAACACATGGAAGGTGTTGTGAAAGGCCCTGGAAATGAGCACTGTCATTAGAGCTCTGAACGTGCGGGAGCTTTTGTTAGTACTTCCGTTTTTTCGCGAGAGTAAAGAGAACTTAAGCACTTTGCTCTCTGACCGAGACAAAAATGTGTGTATGTTTGGAAGTGATTTTAGACTGAATAGATATTTTTGGTCGTTTTTATGCTACTTTTTTTGTACGTAGAATGTAAAGATTACCTGAGAGATTCTAAACCTTTTGTTGGTGTGTAGAGACAATCAGGAATGAAACAGAAAATAAAATGAGTAATAATTATAGAAAAATACGAATTTAGCCTGACATATGGCTAATTAGCTTTTTCAATGTTCCTATTCAATTAGCGTTATCAGGATTAATGTTCGAGGTAGAAGAACTGGAGAGCTGGAGCTTGACATCCATTGAAGTCACCAGGAGCTGAAGTTGCAAACGAACTGCTCCAGTACTCGGGATGAAAATTGCTAATGTGAAAGAGGTATAGAGAAGTCCACATATGTCAGGAATATATTTGTAGAAACCTTTTCAAGGCATATCTCGTCCCTTGTCGGGTTTGACGAATTGTGGTGGGGTGGCAATATACATTTTTTCTCCTGTGTTGCTTTTCCATCAGCGGCCTCCCTCTTTCTCAGGTTCGTATATTTTTTAGGTGCGTCCGTACCGGCACTTGTCCGATTTCTATTCTTCACACCGATGCGGATTGAAGGCAATTTACAGACAGTACTTGTTGCATCTGCCTAGCAAAGCTCGCAGTGCAGTCGGGCTATAACGGGCAGATACCGAGGGAATGAGACCGCTTCGGAGACTCGTAAACCATCAACCTGTAACTTTGGTTCCTACTAGCTTCACTAATACCGGAAAAGAAAGAATAACTTACGAAGTTGCGCTATTAGAGTGCTGAACACAACACAGCGCTGAAACGCCGCTACGCGGACGGGCGAGGAACGAAGGAATAGTACAGGAAAGAGATCACGGCGCCACAATTATGGTAGGACTCGAACCTGCGACTAACTCGCTACTGCACGGTGTCTTTTAGCGGTATCGGCTGTCCCTGTATGTGAATATTCATGTAAAACATGCACACTTGTATGTATACATATACACATGTTGGTTCTTATCGGCAACATTTGCCGCTGTACCCTACAGACAGCTAATGCAGGTTCCTATAAATACTGAAAACGTCGTTCGTCTTAACGTTCGAAATACGTGGCATTGTATAATGCAAAAAATGGCGAAATTTTCCATTGAATTTACGAACGCAAAGAAATATATTCATATGGACACATATGAATATATGTTCATATGTGTCCGTAGTGCTTCAACGTACCCCGTTCATTCTTTATAAAAAAAGTGGTAGACAAACTACGCAATGAAAAATTAAGTGTACATTTTTTGGGACGGGCCTGGGCCGCTTAAAATGATGGAAAGCGCGCTGTTACGTTCGAGCGATAAAATCTCAGACGTAACTTACAATGTTGCTCCCTTTGAAAGAGGATATAGTAAGGCTTACAGAGAAATAGAGTAAATCAGAGGACGCAAAATACGCAATATCTTCCACGAACACGACAAGAAATAAGTGTGAGGTGGATTCATGCCTGAAAGACACAAGTCACATACTGAATGGGTTCAGAACAAACAACAAATATTAATTAAAAGAATTTACATTCAGCGTAATGAAAATAAAGTTAATTGAAGTGTAATGAAATTGTGTAAAAATATGAATTATTTTGCTACTTTCATAATTCAACATTTACTACACTTTACATAGCATGCTTTTTGGACAACGTCCATTGTTCCAAATATTTGTACATAACATACCCATAAGGTAAATTATTACATTCAATTGCAATTACTAGCATTGTGTACTTACATTTTATAATTATTTATAAGCACAGTAAACCCACGTTATGACTAATTCCAAGAGCGGGAATCGTGTCCAAGGATCGGTGTTCGTGTAATAAAAATTCAGTTTATCCGCTCATTAAATACGAGTAAATCAGTATTACTGTTTCCTTGCCGGTACTCAAATTTTGTTCGCGTTACTGCGAAATTTGGGAAAAGCGAGTTAGTGCTTACGAGGTACATCATAGTGTACATCGAATTGTGATTTCAATGTTGTATACAGACCACGAGAATAATATTTTATTTTGATGATTCATCAGACAGACGTTTTGCAGCCGTTTATATTAAATTTAATTATGGAATACAACTGCTCACAAATGTCTTTCGTAGAACGAATACAGAGAAATAGTACCACAAAATGATGAATTAACAGGTCATCAGGCAAACACAGTATAGTATTTCTGTTCCTATCCTTATCGGTACCAGCTTGAGAACCACCTCCAAAGGGTCTGGACCTGCCTCTTCGGTATCCTCCTTCCCTTCAGCAAGTGCACGAACTCGTTTGCGAGCAAAGGCGTGCACAGCGGCAGTGAGGCCATGTCTGCTATGGAGTACAGCCTAGACTCAGCCCCTACACTCAGACTTAAATGTAGTGTCTCTCCAAGGTCACGTGTTGGTAGGAGAGGAGAACACCGTCATACAATCGAAAAGTTTGTCGTAACGAAGCTCCCGATTGGATGACAGAGTTCCTTCTGCTTCCAGCTCGTGATCTTGAAGGGACACTACATTTGTTTAGCGGCGGCGATGGTGTAACGGTTAGCGTACTGGACTGTTGTATCCAAGTTGGCGGGTTCAACCCGATCGAAGCCGTGGATTTTTAAGGGCGAAAAAATCCTTCGTACGCCTTCCTTCGTAGGGGAAGTTCCATGTTCGTAGATTTACTTGCATGTAAAAGAATAATACCTAAATGACCTAAATGATGCCTCTGAGCTAAATTCAAATCGCCTGTTTCTCGCCCAAGAAATACCTCCTTTCCACCAAGAAATACCACCTAGTTGGTGAAAGGAGCGTAGAAGAAATTTGCGTGGTCAGACGGAAGAGCGGGCCTGATGGCCCGAGTCTCGCCACGTAAAATAAGGCAAATTCAATTCAATTCAATACATTTAAGTCGGAATATAGCCGCGCCTCGTCCCTTCAGAGAGATGGAACCGTTTGTGTATTGAGATGTGTGTGTGTCGGCAGGAGGCGGCGCTGTCGGCGCACTTCGAGGCGGTGGCGGACGGCAGCCCGGTGCCCGTGGTGCTGTACAGCCTCCCGGCCAACACGGGCATCGACCTGTCCGCGCCGCTGCTCGTGCACCTGGCGCAGCACCCCAACGTCATCGGCCTCAAGGACAGCGGCGGCGACGTACGTACCCCCCGCCTCCCAGGGGCCGAGCACGAAGAACACATTTATTCGTTCACTCATTTGCTCATTTAGTCACTTGCTCATTTAGTCACTTGCTAGTTTCCTCCCTTGCTAGTTTCCTCCCTTGCTAGTTTCCTCGCTTGCTCGTTTCCTCACTTGCTCGTTTCCTCGCTTGCTCGTTTCCTCGCTTGCTCGTTTCCTCGCTTGTTCGTTTCCTCGCTTGCTCGTTTCCTCTTTCTAATTTGTTCATGTATTCATTTATTTATTTCAATCATTAAGTGTTAAAAGGGACTAAGTCGATTATCACTAGTTCTAAGAAATACAAGAAAAACTCCCTAACTTCTTTTTAAATTGCGGAGTCGAATTAAAAGTATTGTTGCCAGTTTATAAATAAAACAAAGTGTTTAATTTAATAAATAGTTTATATGCATTTTCAGGCTTGTAAAATGCAAAAACTGAAGTCCTTTTAACAATTAATTAAAAAATTGATGGAATAAAGTGAATATAAAGACCTTAGGAAAATATTTTAATGTTCATTAGTGATACTAAAGGATGTTCAACATGGACTGTTAGCATTTTCATATGCATGAAATATTATGTAGTAGAAATAAATCCAAAGAGATAAGTTAGATACCATAAAACAGGGCAAAATATTCACTGCCACGAAAAAGAATACTTTGAATACTTTTCAAGATTAGTTTTCAAATTAACTAAGTTCTCTTATGCAAATTCTTTCTGTGTGACTACATGACAGAGCAACCATGATTTCTAAAAAAAATGTCAACTTGGCAACATCTTTCATGTCCTCTCTCCCCTCCCCCAAATTTCTGCGCGAACGAGGGCTCTCTCTGTATCCATACAGTTCCTGTGCCTCCTACCTCGCCCTTTCTGTGCGGTGAGATCAAACAGAAGGCCGAGCCGGGCCGAGTTGGTTGGAGTTCTCCGAGAGCATTTGCCCGGCCTGGCCCGGCCCGGCCCGGCTGACCAAGAATAACAAACTCTGTTTAGGCCCAGCCGGCGGCGCGTACGCCAGACTTCGCCTCAGCGCGTCCGCGCTGCGTTTGCTTCGCGTTGCCGATAGATCTGAAAACAGCCGTCGGGCAAGATGTGCTCAGCGCAACTTAGAGTTGCAGGAAATGTGAGAAACTTAGAGTTGCTTTAGCAATCCCACACAGCAGGAATTGTGAATAGAGAGGCATGAATAAAAATAAACGATTCGAAGAAATTATATGCTTGAATGGAAAAGTTAGAACTACTGAATATTTTTCTAAAGAAATCTGGGATGGAAACTGCCAAAATTAACGCAGTAGCTTAGATCAGGGTATCCAGAATTGTTTCTTGTAGAGATTAGGCACATACTAATGGTCCCTGAGTTTATATGAAAGGACTTTATCGAATTACTCGTGAATAAAATTAACAATAATACATTCAGACAACACTGAATATCAGTGAAATCAAATAATGGACAAAAACAACCAACTAATTTTGGAACAGGAGTCATTGCAGTAAATTCTTAACATTTTTATGGTCTTAAATATAAAAATTTCAAGGTGATTTTTATTCATATAGATGAAAAGGGAAAAAGTAGTGATCAAGAAGGACAATTCTTTGAACATTTCGAAGGATTTGTTAGGAACAGAAAACATGGAATGATCAAACCCTCACGAAAGTTTATGTTTTAGTTTCTGGGATTCTGGGAAGAGAGAGTATAGATTCCGGACGTGTACAGTACTTAAGACATTAGTCCCGTAAGTGTGGAACATGTTATGTCCAGCGAAGTGGCGGTGAACCGCCTCCGCCAGGTCGTGAGATCTGCTTCCAGGTATTATGTTCTAAGCTCCCGATTGATCTCACGATATGCCTGGTAGTGTACTGAATATAAAGGTAAACGGATGTGTAGGGAGAGATAGGAGGATTCGGATGAGGAAGGATTGGTCACGTGCGGTTTATAGCTCTATTGTTACTGCTTAGGTTAATAGGATTCTAATGTTCGAGCTACAGCAACAAGCCTTCGCATCTCGATCATTGAAACCAGTTAATACATGCTTTCATTTTTTTCACCAGTGCATACATGATTTCATTTGTTTACCTAATAATTTGGATCCAGGTTTACTTATATACTAATTAACTAGATGTTAACTTGACTGTGTTTGTCTTTTCATATGTTCCTCACATTCTTTCCTTTCAAAATGCTCTTCATAAGAGAACACGTAGCATCATTCAGATGTTTTCGTATTTCCCTCGTAATCACGATCCTCTCGATTCAGGTAAGGTATGCTCTGTACAGAAACATCAAGCTCCGTATCAAAGGCAATATCTAGCGATAAGGTAGCAGAAAAAATAAACATGTTTATGTAGTTGACTAGTCCCCGTTGTACCAAGGCTTCTTAAACAAGGAAGAAAAATGAACAAAATACACGATGTGTTATGTGAATACGAGGGTTGCCTTTTATATTTCAGGATTGGAGAACATAAACAAATATTAATAATCGAAAATCACTGTATTGTTTTTCAAAATATTTCCCATGAAGATCTCTACAATTTTGCATGCGATTCAACCAATTGTCGAAGAACTTTTGCCACTCTGATTGAGGTATCTCTAAAACATGCATTCTGAATGCAGCAACCGCTTCTTCAGGTGTCGGAAAACGTTGACCTCTCAGTTTGTTTTTTACGTACGGGAATAAAAAGAAGTCATTCGGTGCCAAGTCAGGACTATACGGCGAAGGACTCATCAAATCGATGTGTTGGGTGCTCAAAAATGCAGTTTCAGCCGATGTGCATGTGCTCGCATTATCGTGGTGAATAGTGATCAGTCTTCGGCGGTTGGTTTTCCTGATTTCTTGGAAGATATCTGGCAAACAAATCGTTGTATACGACTCAGAATTGACTGTTCTGCGTTGTTCTAGTGGTACGGTCGCGACATGACTATTTTATGAAAAAACAGGCGAGCATCTGTTTGAAAGTGCTTCGTGCACGAACAATTTTTGTTGGATTTTGCTCATCTTGAAACACCCATACAGTCGACTGCTGTTTACTTCCGGGCTCATACGCGTAAATCCACGATTCATCATCTGTAACGATGTCATAGATGTGTTTAGAAGCACCGCGATCGTATTTTTTGAGAATTTCTTTCGACCAATCGACACAAACATTGTTTTGAGCGATTAACAAATTGTGTGGGATCCAACGCGAACAAATTTTATTTGACAGTCAAATGTTCATGCAATATTGAATGTATTCTGGTCCCACTAAATGCCTAAGGTTGTCTGAATCTCACGATAGATCACATGACGATCTTGAAGTATCAGTTCACGCACAGCATCAATGGTTTTCGGAACAACTGATTTTGGACGACCTTCGCGAAGTTCGTCTTGGAGTGAACTACGACCACGATTTAATTCACCATACTATCGATAAACACTAGTCCTTGATAGAGCTTCATCCATGCACTGTTGCTGAGTTATATCCACGTCGAAAGTTGTAAAAAATAATCGCACGAAAATGTTTACGATTTAATTCCATTTTTGGGCCAAGATGAATCTTTGAAGTTACTGAAAAACAACACAAATAGCGGTCGTATGTCAAAACGTTCTGAGTGGGTATAACCTCAAAACATCCAACTTTACGATAGAGCTGTCAGTCGCCAGATTGCAACACCGCCAAATCCCGAAACATGAAAGGTAACCTTCGTATATAGCGTGTAACTGGGCTACGTCAAAAGCTATTGTATTTTTCTTTTTTCGTCTCCTTATTGTCTTCGTCTTCTCTTCTACTCCTCTTTTTCTTTCATTTTCTCTTCTTTTTCATCTCCTCCTTCACCTCTTGGTACTTATCCTTCACCTCCTCCTACTTATTCTTCTCCTCCCCCCCTCTTCCTTCTCCTCCTCTCCGTTCTCATCTTCTCCTTACCTTTCTTCTCGCTCCTCTTCCCCTCTTTCTCTTCCTTATTCTTCTGCTGCTTCTCTTCTTAAACGTAGCAACTGATGTTAAAATGCCAAGTGTCAACCCTTGTATGTTGGGGTAGCTGCATTGCGCGAAAGCGTGTAACTTGTAAGCGTCCAGCGGGTTGCCTACCGAAGCAGTCGGCAGGCGCGAGCGCTGTGCGGGGGTTGAGCCCTGCTGAGGCAGCGGCGCGCGTTGCAGGTGACGAAGCTGGCGCGCGTGGTGCACGAGACACGTGGCCAGGACTTCCAGGTGCTCGCGGGCTCCACCGGCTTCCTGCTGCCCGCCATGCTCGTCGGTGAGTGCTCCCGCGGCCAGCCACCTCTCGATGGCGCACGGTAACGGTTAGCGTTTCGGACTGTTGTACTCAAGTTGACGGGTTCAAACCCGATCAAGGCGTGGATTTTTAAGGGCGATTCTTCGTACGCTTTCCTTCGGAGGGGAAGTAAAGCCGGCTGTGCCATGTTAGTAGATTTACTTGCATGTAAAAGTTCCTCGAGCCTAAATGACGCCTCTGAGCTAAATTCTCGCCCCAGAAATACGTCCTTCCTCTGCTAGTTGGTGAAAGGAGCGTAGCGAAATTTGCGTGGTCAGACGGAAGAGCGGGCCTCATGGCCTGAGTCTCGCCACGTAAAATAAGGTATTAATTCATTTCAATTCAATTCTCTTACTGCAGTCACTGCCAAGATGGGATTAAATGGCCAGAGGCGCACCCAGGATTTTTCTCGCAAGGAGGGGAATACGCATAGGGTACACTTGATGTTTTGTTGCTTTGGTGAACAAAATATTTCATTGTTTGCTTTCTCTTTATCCAATCACACGATCTTCTTTCGTTATTTACGATCTTTTCTACTCGTGAAATTTGTGGGATTGCCACATCCACTATTCATTCTTGCTTCTCTTCAACGATGGTAATATCTTATTCGTTATGACCCTGCACATAGTCTCTCTAGATTTTGAAATTCAAGTTATTTCGAACAATGTATGCGGGTTGTGCTTCCATCTTTAATCAGTTAGCTCTAAGTGTTTTGTTTGCATAGATTTCAGTGGCCACT